CTAAATCTTCCCTGCAAGGAACAGCTATTTGTCAAGCGAAATAGGAAGGTTGGAGTCTCCCGTTGCCCAAGGCCACTTAGCAGGGCTCTGGCTGCTCTCCGGACACTTGCTTTTCCGTGCCGGTGTGGTACGAGCAGGACCGAAGGCCACAAAGCTCTCGTGCCCGGTGTCAGCGCTGCCGCTGTGAGCCCTCACGGCGAGCACCGCACGCGGCTTGTCCCCTCCCCGGCCCGGCAAGGTGTAACGTGCCCCGGGTTCACCCTCCGTGCAGCGACGTCCGTGGGCCGCACGCCGTCATCTCGTCCCTTCGTGCATCCCTGCACCGACCCGCTCGCTGACGAGGAGCGCGGCTGTGCTGCATCATGGCGAATCGGTTTGCTCTGTCGCTCTCCATTTGCTTTCCCTGTCTGCGCCCTCCCCGCTCCCCTCTGTAAATGCGCCGAGCGTGAGCAGGGCACAAGGCCACACTCCCGAGTGCTGGAGGAAAAAAAAGGCACCCAGCTTCCTCCTTTCTTCTCCTAAATTCGAATGACAAGAAACAGAGGAAAACAATTTTGCAAACCCTTGGCGGAGGGCCAGCTCTGATAAAGAGCCGTAATTAATCTCCCCAGCTTTATTAGAATATCATTACAATTAACTCAGCAATCTTCTGTTGATCAAAGCCATTGTTCCCCACAGAGCAGAGGAAGCCAGCGCGAGCCTGGATTGCGTGGAGCTTAAAAGCACCTAGAGCTGGATCATTCCTGGCTGGCAGCACAAGGACTGGCAGAGGTGTGGGCAGGAGAGCTGTGCTGGCACAGACCAGTCCTCAGCCTGGCTCTTCAGCCACTTGCAGCTTTGATTTTTTTTTTTTTTTTTTTTTTTTTTTTTTTTTTTTTTACAGGTACTCTTCTTTGTTGAGCTATTATAGCCCAGATCCCTCACGGGCACCTAGGTGTCCCTCATTCCCAATGTAGATGCTTTTGGGTCCAGCCTTTTAAGCACCAGGTTTATTCCTTTGTTTGTGTTTTCATATAGCTCTTTGCATGCCTGCTTCCTAGTCTCAGCTGGAGGTATGGTGACTGCTGCAATAATACAGCTAACAGCGGGTAAAGAAACCAGGGGAAACATTTGTGGAAGCCACATTTAAAAGAAAGGAGAGTTGTCAGAATGAAGCTTCATAAGCTCTACAGTTAAATAGCCCAAGATGTGTGCTACAGAAAAGCAGAGAAAATGAGCACCGTTAAACTACCCCTTTCCTCCTTTTCAAACTGTTCTTTTAATATCGGGTATTTATCTGTAATTTAAGCCTGTGATTAGTTTTATCAAAAAGATAGTTCTGAGGCACAGATCTTAAAAATGATTCGGTGTGTGTTTGAAAGACAGGAACGGCTCCGCTTGCACTGCAGGATAAAGTTGTATCTGTTTGCTGCCTTGAGCATCCATCCGTGAGGGCCCGGCGCCAGAAGGAACCTCCTGGTTCTGCACAGACCCCACCCCACCCCAGTCCTTCAGGGCACTTCTCACGCTCCTTTGAAGGTGCCAGAGCCAGACCTGCTTGTCACCGGGCAAGATTGCTTGACCGAGGTGATTTTGTGTCTCTTCTTCCTCCTCACACTTCTGCTTTTGGAAAATACTCTCGACTTCGGTGTCATCACCGGGGTCCTGACAACGCAGCCTTACTGAGAGCTCAGGGTGCGTGGACCGGGGGGCACCCGAGACGTGGAGACATTCTGCAGTTTTGCTTCAAGAGCATCCCATCAGAGAGGCTCGCCACGGAGGGGGCTGGAGAGCCCGCGGCCCATTCCCCATCTACTCCTGCCTCTTTCTGCAGGGTGGCAGCCCTCTGCCAGGCTGGAGCAATGCTCAGGGGCTCTTCTGCTCCCAGGTTCTTGGTGCAGAACCAAGGAGGTTTGCTCCAGAGCAAGCACCCTGGCCCTGCCTCTGTTTTCAGCCTGATGTAAGATGGCACAGGTGGAGGTTTTATCTCTGAAATGGCTCTGCCACAGAGGATTTCTATGCTGTAAGCAGGCACAGTGAGTGTGAAACCATGCTATCTGGTTACACAAAGTAAGAGAAGCACAGGAAATTGAAAAGCTTTGGGTCTCTTCTCCCATGGTTTCTGGAGCAGGTTGCAACGGGCAGGCGAGCGGTAGTGGAAAGGCAATGCTAAGCTGCCTTGCCAGCCTGCCTGGGAAGAGTTGTTAGATGAAGGTGTTTGAAGCCCTCACTCTTGCTTTTTGTCCTGAATTCTCTTTTGTTTGAATTGTCAATGCTCGTGAGCCCTGGGAAAAAGAAAAGAGAAAGAAAAGGCAGGTCCAGGGTTGGGTCTAATTGACCTTGGCATTGTCCATTTAAGCAGTCACCCAGGAGAAGGGAGCAGCTGCTTCAGCCCATTTGCTGGTGCAGACACAGCTACAGCAGGCAGCCCTGCCTGCTCTGCCCAGCTTCACCTGCTCTCTGCAAATCCTTAACCCTTCAGCGGTGGGGAAAAAAGGAGCAGGACTGCATTTGCAGCGTAGATTTCATATGCACGGTGCAGGCTGTACTGAGCAACTGCACCTCGCTGGCGGCACCAAGCACCGAGCAGGATTTGGGGGTGGCACCCACTGCGACATCTACCACTGCAGGCCAGGGGCTTGAGTAGATTAAAAAAAATGCAATCGGACAACTTCGAGGAAGAAAGGTTTGTTAAGGACTAATAAGAAGGTGGTGCAGAGGCATTGTGTGGCTCAGAAGCTCTCTAACCTCGGGTTGCCTGAGGCTGGGAGGGGGATTGCACAGGAGGGTTATTAGGGGTTTTTCTGTACTTGCCTGGGCCTTCCCTCTGCCACGGGCACCTGCCTGCAGCCGTGCCTGGGGACACGCTCCTGAGGCACACGGCCCTGGGGCTGGCTCAGCATGGCCCTTCTCCGAGCACAGACCTTCCCCAGTCGCTGAACCCTCATACGAGAGAAAGCTGACGTTTTTCATTTTCCTGACACCTGTGTCCTGGGGTATGGCAAGGGAAGCTCCTGTGGGTGACAGACACCTGATACCTCACCTCTCCAGACCACTGAGGAGGAGCTGTGCCTGGAGGAGGGTTAGGTTTGCTTTCCCCAGCACAGCCGCAGAGACATACCCTGCAGTCTGCATCAGAGACCTGGTGCTGAAAGTGTCCTCAGGTTTGGTGTAGGCTGCCCCTTAGGACCCTCCTCCCACCTCTCTCTCCCTGCCCCTTCTGTGGCTGTGGATCTGAGGTGCTATAAAACCCCAAGAAGAAGAAAACGAACTCATAAGGGCTATAAAGCCTCTGATGGCAGGGGTTGTGGCTTGATGGAAAGTGCCGCAGTCTCCCCGAGGTCCTTTGCGGGTTGGTCCCTGAGATGAGAAGCTGTCGTTTCCCACTGTGGCCACCAGTGCTCCTCACCGTGGGCGCCAGCAGGAGGGGATGCTCAGCCTGGGCTGAGCGGGCTCGGGGAGAGCAGCACCTGGGGAGGCTCTTCTGAAGGGCTTAAAGCAATGCGTCCCCCTCACACACACCCCATCTCACCTTCCCCGGGAGGCAGCAGCCACCGCTCCTCCGCAGATGGCTGGGGACATTAGTCAGGCTTCTGGCACGGCTGCCTCAGGTCTCCGAGGGAGACGCAGGGGCTGAGTGTCAGGTTGTTATTAAATATCATTAGTAAGTGACAAAACTGTGTGAAGCACTTCAGGCACAGCCAATGGCTGGAGGAGGGATCGTTTGCAGTGCTGGGGAGACGAGCGAGTGGTGAAGGTCAGAGATGCTTCACATGGGGCTGCCTCTCACTCTACCTCCTGCTCATCGCCTCGAGAAGGCAGGAGGGATGGGTGTTTCCTCGGGGGGAGACACAGGTTTGCAGGGAGCCCCTGCGTGTCACCAGGGGACTTCAGCACGCCCAAGCTGAGTCCCCAGGACGGTCTGTGCATGAGGAAGGAGGAGCTGTGCAGCTCACAGATCCTCCTCCTCTGGTATCGCCCCGTTCTTTAGGAACCCCAGTGTGAGGCAAGGCAGACTCCTGCCCGTCATGGAGGAGCTGCCCAGGGGAAAGGCTGTTTTAGCATCTCTTCTATCCAGTGGAGGCATCTGGAAAAGAAATTTTGCAAACGTTTTTCTAGCTAGCTATTTTCCATTCTTGGTGCTGGCTTTCCCCCAGAGAGAGCTGGAGATGGTGGATCTTTGAGAAGGCAGGGCCCCAACCAGCAGCCCCATCATCGCCAGGAAAGCTGTAGGCTTGCTTCAGCGCCTGGCTAGCCGTGGAGCTCTGGGGAGGAGTCGGCTTTAGCGGCAGGGACGTGAGCCGAAAAAGCCAGATGGAGGCAGAGGCACCTCTGGTGAACATGCCTGGAGTGGGAGCTGAGGGACAGTAAGTCGTGTAATCATTTGCTCGAAGCAATCACAGGCCGTCAGCAGAGCAGAGAGACACTTTCTCGCGTTTATTTAAGGCGAGATGGCCTAGTTTTGTGCTTTCCGTGGAGTCCCTAATTATTCCTCAATCTTTGTAGTGAGCTAATTAGCTGCGCAGCACTCAAGGCTGGGGAACACTGATAGGCTTGGGAAACGCAAGCTGGAAGGACGAGGAGGAAGAGCGAGCTGGTGGGACATGGCTGACTGGCAGGCAGGAATGGCCGGGAGCAGGACAGGGTTTGGAGAGCCGGTGGGTGGTGGTGTGGGAAGGCCGACTGATGGAGGAGGGAAGAGCCATAATCTCACGTCAGGGCAAGGTGCTGGGGTGTGCTGGTAGGGGGGACGGCAGTGAAGCGGCAGGAGGTAACCGAGGTGGACGGTGAGGTGGGGAGGGAGCGAGAGGGATGGTCCATGGGCGAGCAGCCACAGAGCCCAGCGTGGGGCTCGGGGGGTGGGATCCTGCCCAGAGCAGGGCACGGTCACACGTGGGGCAGGGCAGCAAGTGTCCGCTCGCGTGGGCGCTTCCTCGGGCAGCCGCCTGGCCCAGGGGTGCTGCCGAGCGGTGGGCCTGCAGGACCAGCAGCGTTTCCCAACTCTCCCACCTCTTTTCTAGCTTAGTGGTGACACGGAGGAGCTCCGCTGGGAGAGGCCAGCCCCGTCCCTGCAACATGGAGCGGCACGTCCCCAAGCTGGACGCTCACCTTCCCACCTGAGCAGAGCCTCTTCTTTCGGAGAGAGCCACCAGAGATAAGGTAACACTAGTGACTGGGTCCGTGGTGCTCCCACGTCTGCTCTGCGTGCGTGGATGCCTCGCTGCTCTGAAACAGGGTTGTGCTCCAGAGCCCACGCTCCCTACACCCGTGCCGTGAGCCCGAGGAGCACAAAGGTCTCATTCCTGTTCTCGCTGTCATTGGGAAGTTCCCAGTGGCCACCGAGTGCAGTGTGTGACAACTCTGAAGTGCCCAGGTGGCCGTGGATTTATTAGGGTATTATCCTAGTAGTGCTGCAAATGGTGTCATCTGTCTTCTAAACTTTGCACTTTATTTCAGGGAGAGAATTTAGTATATCCAGGCAATATGCTGCAGTTTTAGCATATGATAAAGCCCTGCTGGGAAGTGTAGTTTTATTGATTTTGTTATTAAAGTGCCACTGGAATAAATTTGCTCATTTGAATGAAATGTCTTATTACCTGGATCGTAACAGGCACATGATTAAATCTCCGGAGGGGCTGGAGCTACCCGCTGACTGGTGATGGGGAGCTGAGACGGAGCAGCTGAGAGAGACCCACAACTGCCACCCCGCTCACCCCAAGACCCTCAGCACCCACCCGACTCTGCCGGGAAACTCGTCTTGGAAACCTCAGGATGGGAACAAGCTGCAGTGGCGGGGGGCACTGTGTTTTAGTTGAGGTTCATATTGTTCCTCTGATCCTTTGCTCTCAGGTAAGGGAGTTGTTCTAAAGGGAACTGAGGAAAAATCTCTTTCATGGGGCAATATTTCTTTAATACCACCAGTAATGGGGGTGGATTGGGAAATGAACTGTTCCCCATTACACCAGGACCTAACTGCACAGCCCATGCTTTCCAGTTAAAATTTGATTGCCTTGAATCCTGCAGATTATGGAAAATAAGAAAAAGGCCTAGTAAAATTTATAGGTTTTAATCATAAACCGATAGAATCACAGTAAATCTATCATAAGCATGCGGATACAGACCCAGAAAAAAGAGAGGAAAGCAATAGGGCTGCTTTTTCCTGGAGGAGCTGCATGTACCCACGGCAGGGCCAGGGGGATGGGGAGCAGGGCTGCTCCCCCAGCCACCTCCTCCGGGGTGTTGAGCCCCCGCACCCCAAAGCCTTTCTTCTCTGCCTGACACCTGGTAGCAGGGATGAGAGCACGTGGGGAGCGAGGAAGGGAGAGGCGGGAGAAGGGGGACGGGGCAGGAGGGTGGGGGAAGAGATGGAAGGAAAAGGGAGCAAAGAGGAAAAGAGGCAAAGCCCAAAGGTTTTTCCTTCTGTGCCACTGTGCTGCTCGCTGTGGAAGGAGCAGGATGAGACCCTGCCAGGGCAGGAGGGAGGCAGAGATGTGGGGGAGAAATGTGGGTGCAGAGAGGGGACCCCGGGAAGCACAGATGTAGTGGGGAGAAAAGAGCACTCGACAGAGAAAAATGTCAGGAGAGTGAGGGATGAAGCTCAGAAGGCAGAAAGTATTTAAAAAAAAAAAAAAAAAAAAAAAAAGAGTGAGTGATAAGGAAGAAAAAAGAGAGAGTAAAAAATTGACTCTGAAGCAGAGATAAGAGAGGGAGGGCGGTTAGTGAGAGAAGGAGTAAAATTGAGCGTGATAAGGCCTGATAGAACCGGGGGAAGGTAGCAAGCCCGGGCAGAGAGCGGGGGGGCTGCGGGGCGCAGGGAGGCAAAGGGCCAGCCCGAACCCCTCACCTCTGCTCACCCACACCCTGCGTGGGCAAAGGCGTCGGTCTCAAACGTGGCCTCCTGCGCTGCTCGGCGTGCCCCCCAGCCTCCGGGGGGGCGGGAGGCGGCGGGTGCAAATGCCTCTCGCCGGGGTGTTTGTAACTGCCCCTGCCTCGGCGGCGGAAGGGGAGAGCCAGGCACTTGGAAGCAGAGGAGGTGAGGTGGGTTTCCCCCTCCATGCCCTGAACACATCTCTTCCTGGTTTTTTTTTGCTACCTCTTTTAAGCTGTTGTATAAAGTGCTTTGTATTTACCCTTCTTCAAAGGAAACAAGTGAGAAGTGCTGTCTCGCTCTGACACGTGGCCCACAGTTACCTGAAGAGCAATGCTGGAACCCAGCCCCTGCTCTCTCACCCCTGATCAAGCTGCAACAGAAACATACAGTACATTTCAGCAAAGGGGAGAGAAAGAGAGTTTATTCTTTGGGTTTTGGTTTGTTTTTTTTTTTTTCCCCATCTTTACCAGCCATGAAAATTGCTGAGCTGAGATGCCGGCCACTCCGAGATACTTTTTTTCTGCTCCATCCATCTACTTTAATCACATGGTGACTGAAAAAAAAAAAAAAAAAAAAAAATTATCCAGTTCACAAAGCATCGAAGATTAAAAAGTCGGTGTGGATAATAAACTGTGTGGCAGGCAGCAGAGCCACAGAGCATCGGGCAAACTTGCTAACGAGGGACTGTGAGCAGCAGGTCGGATGCAGGGCCGGCAGCGCGGCTTCCCCCCGGGAGGGTTTCTGCAGAGCAGAGGTGGTGGGTCTGGGGGGCAGGTCCCCGGCTGGCAAAAATCCTGTGCTAGCACAGCCTGAGATGTTACACAGAAAAGAAATACTTTTCTCTCTCCTTTTCTTTTTTTTTTTTTTTTTTTTTCCAAGCTGCTTTTTAACAGTGAAAGACTCGATTCCTCCCTTTGATTGCTGTGACACTGTAGTGTGCTGCAAATACCTTGTTGGACTTGGTTATTAATTTTTTTTTTTTTTAACCTATGTGTGTTGAATTAGCTCTTTTGATTACAGCATTAAAAAAGGATAACTGGAGTCAATTAAGGAGCTCTTTTGGATTGCCAGTATTAATAGCTGTCCAGGAGCATGGAGACCCCTCTCCACCTCTCTGCTGTTTGCTGAACCGCTGAGGAGTTGTTGTCAGTCCTGGCAAACAAGGCTCAGGCAGAGATTCCTGGTCCTAACGTGCTGCTGGACGCGGCTTTCTCGGGCTGTGCTGGGCTTCTTCCAGCGGGCTGAGGCCTGGGCACACCCCAGCCTCTCCCAGGGGTCCCTGGCGCAGGATCCGGGTGCAGGTGGAGCCGGGCGCGCCTGCCCTCCGCTTCAGGCCTCCGTCTGTGTTTTGCTGTTTGTGGTTTCCTCTTGAGCTCACTGAAAATGTTGGTTAAACACTGGTGGGCGGGGAGGCTCACAAAGAAGCGTTTTGCTTTGGCTCTTTTAAAAATCAAAACAAAAGCAAAAGGCTTTTAAAAAAACTGTTTTGGTTTCAAAGTTATAAAGGAAAGATGGGTTAGAGATGAGAAACTAACAAATCAAAGCTCCTGAAACCCACTGCGGAGAAAGGAACACAAAATGTTTTGTTTGAAGATGAATAGGAAGCTGAAAGCAGCAAAAAACCCCCCCTCCCCACGAGCACAGATGTTTCAGGTTGGTTCTTCTCGATTGGCACATTGCTGGAAGAAAAGTAAATCCATTCTTTTCCCTGTCGGCGTTCCAGGTTCCTGTAGCTTATTTTTTTATCATCTTGTAGTGACTTTGATCCCCGAAGACTCCTTAAGTGCTTTACAGATCAAGCATGCAAATCTGGGCTCATCCAGCTCGGAGACGCCGCTGCGGCTGGGCGGGCCGGGAAGCCGCTGGCCGGTGTGGTGCCGCTGGTCCTGGTCAGGGTGGGAAGCACCCGCTGCTGCAGTAGCACCTATAAAAACCTTCAGTGCCCGTATTACCGCCCTTTGCAGGGTTGTTTTGTGCTTCCAGCACAGCCGAAGGCCATCAGGCCGTGCTGGGGTCCCCGGGGCCACGGCACCAGCCCTGTTTCTCCCACGGAAAGGCCCCGTGGGAGGGCTGGCTGTGGCCTTCGCCCCGCTCTGCACCTTCTGGGGCTTGGGAAGTTGGCACAAACCAACTAGGGAAGGGCTGAGCTGGTCTGATGATGCTTCTCTTATTTTCAAAGCTTGAGACATCTCTTTCCCCATCGCTTTCTGTCGCTTAATTGCACTCTCCCCCTCTGTGGTTGCCCTCCTGACATGCTCTTTTTAATTCATTTGCTGTATGGCACTTTTATGCTGATGCTTTCTGCGGCCTGTGCTGTGTCCTGCTGTGGCAGGTGGCTCTGCTCTCAGGGCAGGGTGGCACTGTCACCCCCCTCCCGAAAGGGGCGACAGCCCTGCCCGGGGGCCAATTTAACCCCTATTCCTCCCCTGCTCCTCACTGAAACAATACAAACCTCCCGCACCTCCCGATCCCAAGCACCAGAGCTGAGCAAAGGGAGGTTGCTGCCTGGTGACCAGACACCAAGGTGATGGGCAGGCTGGGGCTGCCACTGGGGCAGCCAGCGTGTTACAGCCTGCAGCCCCTCCCTGCTGCAGCCCTGTGCCTGTTCTCTGGCTCAGGCTGCACATGGGTGTCTTTCTTTGTAAATATATGTTGGGGTTTTTGTTTTATGTTTTTGTTTGTTTTTTTTTCAGATGAGGTCTCCTTGAGAAGCCAAATTCCCTTTTGGATGTGCCTAAGGGAGCTTGTGAACCTGGCTGCCAGCGGTCAGGAAACCACGGTGCGAGTCCTTACAGGCAGGTGGGGAGCGGCAGCGGGGGCACCCGGGCGGGCAGGGCCAGGCGGGGCTGCTGCCAGCTCGTGAGGGCACTAAGGGCCCGGCAGCAGCCCTGCCCGCCGGGACCAGCACATCGGAGCCAGCCTGCCCCCGGCAGAGCGGAGACACCACGGTGCTGCTGGTGACGGCAGGCGGGAAGTCCTCTCCCCACGCGGCAGGCGGTGGGGATCCCCGCGTACGCCCAGCGCTGCTCGGGCGAAGCCTGGCCCCGCTGGCTCTCAGCAGGGCGAGCTGCTGGCCGCCCTGTGCCGGGGCTCCGCGTCCCGCTCCCGGCGCAGCGGTCAGGCAGACACGGGCCCCGCTCCCTGGGCGGGCAGGGGAACTGCCTCTAAAACCACAAGCAGTCCTTGGGGGGGGGGGAAAAACCAAAAGTCAAACTCCTCTCGGCGCGGCGCAGGGCCCAGGACACTGCGGGAGGTGCCTCTGGGGGAGCACGAACCTTTGGTGTCAGCGGGCGACTCGCCCTGGCCTGGGGCTGCTGTTAGTGAGGCGGCTGGAAAATGCCTCCGCGGCAAGGAAGGGAGCGCTCGCCAGTGGTACTGGACTGGACAGATCAAGAAGTCAAGATTTTGCATTCCAACTATCTATAGGAAATAGGGTTTTTTTATTATTTCAAGTTTTCATAAAAATCCATAATTATTGAAATCAAAGTTACAGAAGAAAGTTCGTAACTTTTTATGATTTTTATTTCTTTTTTCTTTCTTTTTTTTTTTTTTCCCCCCTCTTTGTTTTTCCCTCTCAGAGTTATATCTGACACCAGAGTTCATCAGACAAAGTCCTTACAAACACAGGAGTCCAGAAGACATCGGCTGAATGTTTTCCTGGTATAAAGAAGAGGAGGAGGAGAAAGAGGTGGTGACAGTGCGGGTGCAGTGGGTTTGGACAGGGGCAGAGGGAGCGGTGGGAAGGAGAGAGGTCGGTATGTTTGTAGCAATGTTTGTGTTTTAATTATTTTTTAATTGTTCATTTGTTCTTTTTTTTAAAAAAAAAAAAAAAAAAAGGAAAACCCCACCATTATTATTTGCAAATCGTTGCCTGGTTAAATCATTTTCATGTTGAACTTGCGCGGCGCGTCGGCAGAGCTGATGCCCGCGTCGGACTTGCGCGGCACGTACTCGATCTCGATGTTGTGCTTGGTGTTGCCTTTCCCCCGGCTCCACAGGAAGAGGAGCACCAGACAGAAGAGCACGACGCCCAGGAAGGAAATGAAGCCCATGGTGGTGGCGATGATGAGAGTCTTGATGTCAAAGGGGAAAGGCACGGTGGCGCGCGTGCTGTTGGCATCGCTCTCGTTGGGCTGGTTGGAGATGAACGCGAAGGTCTTGTTGGGCTGGTGGGGCCAGTCGGGGGAGTAGCTGCGCACGTGCAGGTGGGCCAGCATGGTGTCGTTGCCACCCGCGTTGCTGGCGATGCATAGGTAGGTGCCATTGTCCTGGATCTGGGCGTAGCGCACCTCCAGCGTGCCGTCAGGGAAGACAGTGAGCCGCCCGTTGGTTTTGGTAGAGATGAGGTGCTTCCGGGGGGAGAGCCACGTGATGGTGGGGGGCGGGTCCCCATCCGCCCGGCAGACAAAATGGACCGTGTGGCCTTCGTCCACGAAGATCTGCTGAGGTTTGCGGTCCCGTATCCGCGCTCGGCGGCAGGTGAAGTAGTTGGGTAGGAGGACGTCGGGGAAGTCTTTGAACTCCTTGCCCTGGACGAACTCGGGGGTGGAGCAGGTGGGCTGCTGCTTGTTGAAGTTCAACCTCCATCGCCGCCGGAAAACCCAGAGCAGCCGACAGTCGCAGGCTAAGGGGTTGTTGTCGAGGATGAGCGTCTCCAGGTTGCCCACCGAGTGGAAGGCCGACTCCTCCAGGGTGGTCAGCAAATTCCCTGACACGTTCAGGATGCGCAGGTAATTGAGGCCGCGGAAGGCAAAGGGCTCGACCGTGGTGAGCTGCCCTCCCACCAGCTGGATCTCCTGCAGCCTGAGCAGGTCATGGAGCATGGAGCCCTCGATGGTGACGATGGGGTTGTAGGACAGGTTCAGGAACCGGAGGTAAACCAAGTGCCTCACCGACACGTACGGGATGGACGTCAGGTTGCAGTGGGTGATGGACAAGGAGGTCAGGTTCAACCCGTAGAGGCAGTTGGACGTCATAGTATCCAGGTAGGGCCAGTGTGAGATCTCGAGGACCTTGAGCCGGTACAGCCTCTTGAACGAGTAATCCCGGATGGTGTTGATGTTCAGATGGCGCAGCCGCAGCACGATCAAGCCGTGCAGGTGAGACAGGGCCTCCGTGGGGATGGAGGTCAGGTTGCATTTCTCCAGGGTCAGCTGCTCCAGGCTGTTGAGGCCGCTGAAGGCCCGGTGGGAGATGTAGACAAGGTCGTTGTCCCCCACCTCCAAAGACTTCAGGTTGTACAAGTCCTGGAACATGTAGTCTAGGAGGATCACAATTTTGTTCTCACTAATGTCTAGCTTGGTAAGGTTGCTGAGTCCAGTAAACACCCCCAAGGGGATCAGCTTGAGTCTGTTACTCCTGAGCCCCAGCGTCCTGAGGTTGAAGAGGTTGTTGAAAGCCCCAGGTTCAATGGCACTGATAATGTTCTCATTTAGCTCCAGCTCCTCCAGGTGAGGGTAGTTGGCAAATTCATCCTGGTTGAGGGTCTTGATGCGGTTCTTGCCCAAGTCCAGCAGCCTGGTCTCGGTCGGGATCCCCTCCGGGACGACCATGAATCGCTTGCGGTGGCACAGGACGGCGCGCTCCTGGGCGGAGCACTCGCAGCGCGGTGGGCAGCCCGTGGCAGAGCCGGACAGGATGGATCCCAGCATCAGGAGGAGAATCGGCTGCCAGCAGGCCAGGATTGGGCTGCGCATACTCGCCTCCCCAGCTACCATCCTATCTCTCACCTGCAGGCAACACGGGGGAGAAAAGAGCGAGGTGGGTGTGAGCAAACAACGGGCACAGCCACGGCGAAGGGTGGACCTACCGCCCTGGTAGGGCTGATGTTAAGGCGAAAGGCGCCGCCGAAGCAGAGCGGAGCTGCTCATTTTTGAGAAATACCAGCCCTTTGGCTGTGACACCATCTCTCCTCCCTGCCCCCCAACTTTCCGCTTGGTGACTGAACGTGTGCCGACTTCGAGTGGAAAGCCTTGAGGAATCTGTGTCAGACAAACCTCACTTCCTTGGCTTCTTAAAAAAAAAAAAAAAAAAAATTTAATACTGAACACATCTATCCACATCCTATTTTAAGCTCTTGAAATTATTCTGTTCCCTGTAGATGGAGCCGGAATATAAAGGCTGCTTTGCAAATGCAGGGGAGCCGAGCGCAAGATTGAGCATCTGGGGGGACCCCGTTTGGGGTCAGCTGGGAGCGGGGTGTCTGCGCGGGGAGCAAGGGCGACAGCTCCGCGGGGACCAGCCCCCTTTCCTCCGTGCTCCCCCAGGCTCTGCAGCAGCCGGGTCTCGGTGTCCCCTCCTCGCCTCCTGCCGTGGCTGCCGGCGAGGCGCAGCCCCGCAGCTCCCCTCCAACACACAGCGCCCCGTCAGCGGGGGGTGGAGGGGTGCTGCGGGGTTAGGGGGTGCTGCGGGGTTAGGGGGTGCTGCGGGGTTAGGGGGTCTGCCTGCTCCCAGCTGGGGAGGGCCCGGCCTCCTGCCGCCCTCCCTGGGGCGGGCTGGGAACCTCCTCGGGGTTGTGGTCTGGCTTGTGCCCCGGGCCAGCGGCAGGCGGAAGCGAACGCTCCCCGTCCCGCTGCCTCTGTTGCATTTATTTCCTTGTTGTTCAAGCTGTTATGAGTGATCAAATCATATTAATATTGCATATTAGATGTACAGCTACTCCGGACCGTGTTTATATCTATTGTTATGTGTACACTCCGCATTGCTTCCACTAATGCTATTTATGGCTATCGCTGAATATACTCAATACATTACTTCCATTGGCTCTCTCTGTATCCATCATTATATATCCTGTACATTACTTTCCCTGCTCCAGCACTATTTATGGGTCTGGGTACACATTCTGTTCGTTACTTCCATTGCATCTGTTTATATTCATCATGTCATACAGATATATTACCCAAATATCACTTTTATTCCCCAAAAATTAGTCAAAATTTCTTTGCAGGATACAAGGATGAAGGATGATGGGCTGGCCATAAAAATGTCCACCAGCACCATTTCAGAAACCACCAGGCCTGGGCACGGGCCTGGCTCTGGGGTCCCGGAGTCACCGCAGGAATCCTCCCAGTTTGCTGTCCTGCCCCAGCCCCTGCCCCTGCCGGGGGGCTGGTCACCGGGGACCCCCCAAAGCGAAGGGGTGCGCTGGCGGGAGCTGATCCTGCACAGCTCCCCTGGCAGCGGTGCCAGCACATCCCACTCTGGTGGAAACCTTTCCCGTGGGTTCACTCGGGCCTGGGCCAGGCTGCAAAGAGCCATTTGCCGGGTCTGTTACACTTCATCATCTCCCACGTCACCTCCTCCCCAGTGCTGACGCTGCGGGGCAGCCTTACAAACGCGCGCGGGGTTGCCGCTACCGCTGGGCTGGGACCTGCCGGCGCCCCGGGACGGCTCCGCCGCTTGGCAGCTCTGGGGCCAAGGCCAGCACGTGGAGTTGCTCCCCGGGGCTCACGCTGAGCTGCCGGGGGGCTCCCCGTGCCACCGCCTCCCCCCGCGGCAGCGAACGCCCCTTCCTCCCGCCCGCACCGCTGCGCCCACCGCCCGCTTGCCGACGCGCGCCGGCTCGCTCGCAGCCTCCCTCGGCCCGTGTTGTCTCAGAACCCAATTCCTGCTCCTCACAGCCGTGCTGAGAAAGCCATCAAAGCAAGCAAAACACCGCACGCAAAACAAAATACAGTCTAAGGGGCTTAATTATACCAGGGCTGAAAAGACTTCAGCTCATTAGAGTGCCAGGCAGCCGGCCTTATTTGGCTGTGTTCTGTGCTGAAATTTCAGCGCTGCCCGTGCGCGCAGCTACGGGCCGGTCCCGGCTGGGCACGGGGCTGGGGTGGGAGCCGAGTCCTGCCGTGGGGCCCCACGCACGGCTCCATGTCAGCCCCAGCCCCCCCCAAGCAGCTGCCGACCCTGCAGCGGGCAGAGCTGCCGGGAGCAACGCGGCATCGACAGCTAAAATGTAAGTGAAGAGGTGATGGATGAATGAAGCAAAATCTGCATGGCGTTAAGGACAAGACAAGCCCACTTGCGTAGAATTAAAGTCTAGACACACCCCATGTTATTAGTTCTCAGCTAAATTTAAATCCGTGATAAATACAATCCCTGACAAAAACATCCGTAATCTTAACAGCCAGAGTCACAGAAGAGCTTTGGGAGAAAGACAATGAATAAGCTGAAAAATTCGGGGCTAAGCTGAGCTTTAAATCACTTCTTGTTCCCATTTACCTCTAGCTGTTTCAGAGAGGAATATTCATGCCTCAAGGTGAGGCGGATATTAAGAGCTGCTCTGCTAAAAATGACTCAAATTGTGATTTTTGTGCGAGCTGAGGTCAACAACCCGCGCGTGGGGAGCGGGCTTGGTGGCACCGGGGGGGGGCCGAGACAGCAGTGACCACTCACAACCATTGCTGCCTGCAGGGAAGCGACCGAGACAAAGTGCCACGAAGGGCTTTCCCAGAATTGCCACCCTCCCAGCTTTACTCTGAGGACAATGAAACGTGCCCTAGCACCTTCCAGGGTGCCCGGCCCCAGCAGGAGCTGCGGGGCAGGATCGGGCCGCCCGGCCGTGGCGCACGGGCCAGGCCAGCCCCGGGAGAGCTGCAGCCCTCTGCTGTGAACCTGGTTCTTGTTTCGCACAACAAAATAAAAAAGCAGCGATAAGAAAGAAGCAGCTGCCAGACGCGTTGCCTTTAGGCAGCGAGCAAACCAATGCAAAGCAGAGCAAAAAAATCATGCCCAGAGCCACGACATCCACTGACCCCTGTCCTTGGCACCCTGCTGCCCGGGGACGAGGGCTCCAACGCACAACCCTGTCCCCCGGGGCAGCTGCCAGCCTCGCCCGAGGCGCAGGAAAGCCGCTGTTCCGGGCCGGTGCCTGGAAACGCAGCTCGGGGTCGGGCTGGAGCGCTGACGTGCGCGGGGTTCGCTCCGTCGCGACGGGAGGAACCAAACCCAGGAGGGAGCCCAGGCTGGGCACCGGGCTTCGGTGCCGCTGCCCTCCGGCCCCACGCCTGGCCGTGCCCCGCGCTGTCACCGCCGTGCCCTGCGCCGCGCCCCACGGGGCTGCCCAGCGCTCGGGGCCCGGCCGGTGCTCCGCGGCGCCGAGCGATCCATCTGCTGCGCCGACAGCGAGCAAGCGGCAAAAATCCCCGAGTCAGCTATAACCCCCACCTGGCAGCCATAAATTACAGTTTGGGAGACGTTCACCCTTGAACCAGATGCTTTCCAGAGCGTCGAACGACAACAGGCAATTTAAGACAAAGGCAGCCATATCCCGGGGAGGGGGGGGACGGGACACAGAGCTCTGGGGGCTCAGCAGAGCCCGGGGAGCACGCGTCCCCCCCGCTGTCCGTCCCTGCAGGAGCAGCCCTTGCTGCGGTGCCGTGGGGCTGGCAGGGCTGAGCCTGATCCCAGAAGCTCCGGGCACCCACCCCGGGCTGCAGGGTGCCCACGGGTGTGGGTGTGGGTCAGCCGTGGGCTCACCCCCCCAACTCTGCTCTGCCAGCTTCGCACGAAGCTGACGAGCCACAGCGCTCGTAGCCAGGGCTCTCGTCTCCTCTAAGCTGCTCCAGCTAAATCAAATTTTATTGAACTTGACTACATTTTAGAGATAAAGACTCCAGGTTTACAAATAAATATTTAACAACCTTTCCTGCTGCTAAAAGAGTTGCTTATCCAGACCCCGGGCTCTGCACTAAGTGTTCCTGTAGCTATCTGCAAAGCAGCAAAAGAAAGGGAGAAGCTTTAATTTGCCAAACACGTTTGTGCCCATTTCCTCATCTCTCCATCATTCCCCCTGCATCCAGCGCACATTTGTCGGCCTTTTGCTTTTTCTCTCCCTCTTCTCCACCCCACCTGCTCCCTCCTCTTCCTCTTTTCCCACCCAAGTAGCAGCCGCTCTCCTCCCTGCTGCCCAGGGAGGCTCAAGGATGGGTGGGAGTTGGGGCCAGAGCACGCAGCGGGGATGATTTCCCTCCTGAGACCACGGTGCTTCAGATGGGTAAAAAAGAAACCAAAGAGGGCGAGCCTAAAGCGAGCCCTGGGCGCTGCCAGGCTGGCTGGTGGGAGGCACAGCGCCAGCCTGGGCGAGGGAAAGCTGCCACCGCACGTCCTCTGGGCCTTCCTTAATGGATGGGCTGCTAACGAAGGGCATGAAAACTGCTGCCGCAGTGCAAAGGGCTGCCCTGTGTCCTGTCCTGGCCCCAGATCCTCCAGAAGCCGCGCAGGAGGGGATGAGAGGCGGGGGGAGAAGTGGGCAGATGCTAAAAAGGTCCCCCCGCAGCAGTGCCTCGCTCAGGGTGGCGGAGACACACGAGTCAGTCGGGCCAAGAGTCGTGCCAAGGCCGTGAACCGCGGCAGGCTCGCCGGAGAGGAGCCCAGCCCCAGCAGCCACAAGCTGCCCGGGGTCACCGGCTCCTGCTCACCCACGGGAAGGCGTGACTCTCCAGCCCAGAGTTTTTGCTCAGCCTTCTGCAGTATCTGCTTTCAGCTGCTCCGAGGCGGGAGCCTGGAATAGGTGTGCCGCAACCTGATCTGCTCTGGCAGTTGCTCTGAGGCTGTAAAAGAGCACGGAGGAGGATTTAAGATGCAAATCCCCTTCCGGCACTGACACCCCCTGGCCCGCAGCGGCCGGCCCGCAGGACTGCCCTGCAAAGGCGTTTCCCGGGGGCAACGGGCTCTTCCACCCAAAACGGGGTGCCCCCAGCGCCGCAGGGGATTAGGTCGGGGAAGCACCAAG